GCAATGCCGATCTACCTGCTGACCTTAAAGTGTTTGTCAGCAGAAAATTACTGACCTGGTTTCTATGTTTTATGGTAAGACCTTTGTATCAAAATTTTTTTCCCAATCTGATGCCGACCTCTAAAAGATTTAGGTCGGCAAATTATTGTCGACCTCATATTTCCTAATTCCGAGGGGTGTGTGTGTATATATATATATATATATATATATATATATATATATATATATATATATATATATATATATATATATATATATATACTCTTGCATGGTAGTCAGAAAGAGTTTCCCATAAACTGTAGTTTTAATGAGCGCGTTAATAAACCAGACCATAAAAAGTTTCAAAACTTAAATTTTTTTTTTTTTAAATGATAGACTGCCTGCTTAAACTAAACCCTCAGTCGATGTAGCAGCACTCCCTTGTGAGTCAGGCTATTTGTCAGTCGATGTAGCAGCACTCCCTTGTGAGTCAGGCTATTTGTCAGTCGATGTAGCAGCACTCCGTTGCAAGTCAGGCTATAAGATAGTCGATGTAGAAACACTTCCTTGTAGCAGCAGGCTATAAGATAGTTGATGTAGCAACATTTAAGCATGTTTTAAAAATGTTTTTTAATAAAACAAAAACAAAAACACCACTTATTAAAAAAACTTTCTAGTCGTTATTATTGCGGTTTTTTAAAAAATTTTTAAAAAAACAATAAAATTTAATGTACTTCTGCATTAATTTAATTGCTTTGACATTTCGACGACAATCAAAAACAGCTTAAGAGATGAGGTAATTAAAATTGTGGTCGAAAGAGACTTTTTTTACATTAAAAGACTCTTTCGACTACACTATAAGGATATATATATATATATATATATATATATATATATATATATATATATATATATATATATATATATATATATATATATATATATATATATATGTATATATATATACATATATATAATATGAACATCAAATTTAAAAAAATACTTTATGATGCATAAATGTTAATTCAGCCCTAGTAGCAGCGCTCGAAATTATTATTCGAAGGTTGCCAATCAACATGATCGGCTGAAATAAAAAAATAAAAAACCAGAAGATCAAATAATTTTTTAGACGATTAATTTTTTATTAAATTTTTACTAAAATTTACAATGCATTTTTTTGATCCTACCTCGCTTAATTTTTGCTTTGCCGTTATAATTATATAACTTTTAATTAATTATAAATTTATTTATTCTCTTTAGAATTTAAATAAATCGTTCGTTTTGTTGTTTTGAATTTATTAATTTTATATAGAATTTAAGTATACCGCTGGTTTTGCCGTTTTACTTTTTGTATTATTTTGAGTATATATAAAACATTGCTTTTTTTTTTAAATTATTTTATTTTGAGTTAATATATATCGTCTGTTTTGCCGTATTTCTTTTTAATTGTTTTAATTTGAATATAAATAAAACATTACTGTTTTTATTTTAATTATTTTGTTTGGAATTTAAATTAACATCAGTTTTGCCATATTTATTTTAGTTATTTTATTCATAATTTCAGCAAATGTTTGTTTAAATTTTATTTTGAATGTAAACAAATAATCTTTTGCTGTTTTTATTTTAGTTTATTTAGAATTGAAATAAATCTTTTTTTTCGCCATTTTTATTTTTATTATTTTATTTTGAATCAAAATAAAACTTAGCGGTTTTTTATATATATTTTATTTAGAATTTAAATATAATATTTGTTTTTCTGTTTTTATCCTAATTATTTTATTTAAAATATAAATTAATTTTCGATGTGCTGTTTTTATTTTATTTTATTATATGAAATAAACGAATGATTTGTTTTGCCATTTTCATTTTATTTAGAACTATAATAAAACTTTGTTGTTTTTTTAAAATTATTTTATTCAGAACTTAAATAAATTGTTTGTGTTTCCGTTTTTACCTACATTATTTTATTTAGAACATAATTCATTTCATAATAATTTTGATGCTAATTAAATTTTAACTTTCTGTATTTAAAATGTTTTTGTATTAATAATTACAAAAGTTTGACTAGCAACTTCTGCCGATCAAATTTGATCGGCCAGATTTAATTTTTTTCCGAAAGTAGACAATCTTTGATTGTTGATCAGCTTCTGTTTCGAGCGCTGTAGTAGTAAACCCGGCCCCAGTTAAATTTTAACTAAACATAATGTTTACTAAACATAACATTATTCAATGGAAGCATTGCAGCATGAAACAATTTGCCATGAATTAAACTTAATTAAACTTAAAACTAAAGCCAGAGAGAAAGTAAAACCTTTACAAAGATTGAAATAATCCTAATACAAAAAGTGAAGCTCTGGAGACAGGATATTGTGTTCAACCAATGTTTCTGGAGACTCATTAATGTTAAGCACTTTTAAAGAAATATAAATTTTGAACTCTTTCATTTTCTGTTATCTGCAAACATCAGCAATGAACTTAAATGTTCTTCTTACACTACTTACAAGTAAGCATTCACCCTAACACCAAAGGAATGCAAACTTAACAACTTTTATATTATATTTCAGATATGTAATTAAAAAATTGTGCATGCGATGTTATTTTTTCAAAAATATTTAAAGCAAAATATTAATATTTTTAATTAATCAATAAATTTTATTCTTAGTTTTTAATTTTAAAAATAATTCAAAACATATTTTTAAAACTTTACAATAATAATTAGTTAAAAAAATTGAACTAAACCAAAATTATCATGAAGGTCACAGGGAAGCACTGTGTTCCAGCCATAACTTAAAAACTATTCCACATCAACTAAACAAAAACATAGGAACAAGACTGTTTTTACTAGTATAGTTATTTTTTACTCATTGTTGATAAATATTCTCGCATTCACTTTTCTTTTGCAGCAGGTGGCAGCTGCCTCCCAATTAATTTTTAGCAGCAAAATTTTCTTTATTCTGCCTCCAGTGGTTTCTGCCTTTATATTGGCAGCCGCAGTCAGAGTTTTTTTTAAGAGGCAGAATGTTTTGGAGGTCAATGCTAATAGAGAGGCAGAAGATTAATGGCTGCCTCCAGAAGAAATATTTGCCTCCCACCGGCGGATGTAATGAAAAATAATATTACAATTGTCTTTAAGTTAACGAGCAATTAAAATATTAACTGAGAACAAATGTTAAATATTTGACATCAACATTTTGTTTTATATGATTTATTGACTATTTAAAAAAAATGTTGGAAAAAACTTTTTTGTCAGAGCAGATGTTTTTCTATCGAATATTTTTAAATTTTAAAGGTTTTAAACTTTTAATCGCTTAAAACTTTAAAACGCTTAAAAGTCTATATTTTTAAGCATTTTAAAAGTATAAAGTAAAATATATATAATATTTATAAAAGTATATGTATTTAAAGTTTATAAATTTTTTTTGTTTTGTTTTGTTATTTAGCAAAATTTTAATAAAAATTAGCAGTATTTTTTTAATAACTTTTACAATATGCAATTAATAAAAATAACGATTTAACATTATGACAAATGATAAAATAGATAAAAGAATTTTAGCATGCCGACTTGTTTGAAACAAACTTTGACTAAAATCAGTCAATATAATTACTTAATATAATTTTTTTTTTTTTGTCAAAAAGATTTATTCACCAGTGGCATAAAAGTAAAATTTCCAACTTTTAACTTTTGTTTTGAATAATAAAACTACTAATTTATTTTACTTAATTTAATAGTTGAAAAAAAATTTAAAATTTTTTTATATACTCAAAACTTTTGCAAATAATTATATAAAATGAAACATGATGTCAAATATTTAACATTTCTTTCTAGTTAATATTTAATTGCTTTAAAGCAAACGAGCAATTATTTTTCATTACATCCGCTGGTGGAAGGCAAATATTTCCGCCTCCAAACTAGCATCGACAGCCAGTTGGGAGGCAAAAGCCATTGGAGGCGGCCTCCAAATGATTCTGTCTCCACAGTTTTTTCTGGAGGTGGCCACCAATGGCTTTTGTCTCCCTAATGATGTTGGGCCTCCAAACATGGGCGCCCGCAAGGGGGGGCAAGAGGGGGCACTTGCCCCCCCCCCCTGTATTTTCTAAATATAGAAAAAAAATTTCTTGTTTGTAACGTTCTTCATGCCATAAAGTTTGTTACTAAATTTTTCTGTAAAAAATATCTTTTAGTGATACTTCGTTACAGTTTCGGAAAAAACCTAATTAAGTTTTTTACAAAATAATTAATTGCTTATTTGTATGAAAAACACGATATTTTTCAATCTTAGCATGATTCGTAGTAAAAATCTTTAATTGCTACTATATTTTGTATATTTATATAGTATCAATGAAAAAAAAAACTTTATATAGAGGCTCTGTGCAAAGATTACAATGACGTATTATCATCTTCATCTTTTTTGGAGCCAATGTCTGTTTAATTCCTTACATTTAATAAAGATCAATAAAAAAAAAAAGTGAATATTTTATACACAAAAACGGTGCTGACAAGTTTAAATTGTCTTCTTTTTTCAACGGAAATATAATTTTTTTCTTCTCTTTATTTTATATCTTACATATCTTGATTTTTACATAATAGATAACAGGAAAAAAAGCAATAACAAAAAATGTTTTGCCCCCCCCCCCCTTAGAAAATTTTCTGCGGGCGCCTCCAAAATATTTTGTCTCCAAAAAATAACTCCGGCTGCGGTTGCAATTAGAGGGCAGAAGCTACTGGAGGCAGAAGAAAAAACATTTTGCCTTATAAAATTAAATGGGAGACCGCTGCTAACAGCTTCCACCTCCCTAAAAAGTCGGCATTTTGGCAGAAAGTTAGTTTGCTGCCGAGGCATTATAACTGTTTTTACTAGTTTTTTAGACTTATCATAAAATATTAGAAGAAAACTTAAAGAAAAAAAAACTTTGATAAATCTTATATCAAACATTTCAACTTGTTACTGGGTATTTCTTACCAATAAATAAAAAAACTTTGTCTCTGTATAACTTCAAAACAAACAAATAAAAAAACTTACTTATAAATGAACGCTTATAATTAACTGTACAGGTACAGGTTTCTAGAACAGATTTGCAAGAGTTATCATCTATTCCTAATCCCGTCCAAACCACAAGTACAAGTGCAACAACAATGAAACATGCAATCGCAGCAAGCATGCCAATTATATTAAAAATCAAAAAAGCAACCATCTATAAACATCATAAAACAAAATGAATAAAACTATGCTAAACATATTAAAATTTAAAACATTCTGACAGAAAAAAAAATTTAAATAATCAATGCAACATATTTTTATTATTTTACATACATATTAATTTTTATTAACAATTCAAAAAAAAAATCAAATTGTACAACCATATGACACAAAGTAATGTTACAAACTATATAAGTATTTAGAACTATGCAAATAAAACTATGCAAACATAAAGCACAAACAAATAATATAAAACTATACAAGTATACAGCTTAATTATGCTTAATATTCCATGGTATTTTTATAGTTCAGTTTTATAGAAAAGTTAAAATAGATCAGAGCTCAAATTAAGTGATCGCAAATTGCGATATCTGGAAATACTTCTAGTCTTTAAATTCTTATTTTTTAAAAACTGTAAACTCTGTTTTTTTTAACCAATTTAATAGTTATGGATCAACAGTGACGAATCCATAAATTATTGGTGGTGATAGTGGTGGTGGTGGTAATATGTGTGTGTGTGTATGTGAGGTGGTATTATGTTGATAACAAAGCTAAAAAAAAAAAAAGCTCCTTAAATTGACAAAAGAGCCTTTAAAAATTTCTTTTTTAATTTAGAGGCCTCCCCAAAATAATGCATACTCCCATTTTCATTTTAATTTAATGGCCAGTAATATTTCCAGATGTTGTAATTTTCGATCACTTAATTTGACTCTTGTAGATAATAAAAAAAAAAACTTACAGCACAAAAATTTTTTGTGTATGCAACTACAATTCCAAGAATGCCAGGACCAAACAACTAAAATAATAAAAATATAACAAAAATATTTTTGTTACTGTAAAATTTTTTGGGTAAATGTAACCAAATGTTTCCCTTTTTTCCTGAATGTATTTTTATATTCTTTTAATTATCAAATTCAAAATAAACAGGTTAATAAACAGGAGTAAACAGGTTCTTTAAATAAAGGTTGTTTTTTTAAACATAGACAACTTCTGAATCAATGCATTCTAAATTTAGTATCAATCAAGATAACAAATAATTTATTTTAGAGTTCTTTTTTTTTATATAAACCTATGAGGGGACACATTTCTGAACTTTGTTTTTATCAAATAACTGACTATATACTAATATATTACAATAAAACATTTTTTTTATTAAATTTGTAAAACTTTAAAGAAATTAAATAAGGCAACATAGCATTAATAGCGCCCGCGGCGCAGTGGTTACAGCGCTTGCTTTATAAGCAGGAGATCCAGGTTTGAAACGAGCTCTGGAGATATTTTTGAGTCACTGTAAGGAAGGAGGCATGAACTTTCTGGTTAAATGCACTTCTGCGGTTTTGTTATGACTTCAGTTTGATTTGCAGGAATAAAAATTAGGAGGCGATTGCATAGCTCTTTTGAGGTACCATGCTCTATCTATTATTGAGCATCAGGCTCTTAAAGCTATCAAGGTATCTTTAACTTAAAACATGGCTTAAGTACATAAAATTTTGAACATAAAAACCATTACAACCACCACTTAACTGTTTCAATCTATCTTTTACAGATATTCATGGTTTTCAAAGTAACTTTTCATCAGTTGAATCATGCCTCTTGCAAAATTCACAAGATTTACTTGCTCTTTGTGAGACTAATTTGAATTTGGTTGTTTCATTTCCATATCTCAGTGTTGATGGTTATTATCCTTTAATATGCGAAAACTTCATTAATCACATGCTTGGTATCCAATAATCACATGCTTGGTCTGAGCATAAATTTAGGCATCATTTTAACTACCTGCTATGACCCTCTATACTTACTTTTTGGCATTATTATCCTTATGATTTAAATATTATTTTAATTTTCTTTTTATAACTACTACAATTATCATCAGCACTTTTTGTTTATTTTTGTTTATTTTTTTAATTAGTAAAACCTGCAAATTGATTTCTACATGTTTGTTTTGATGTATATTTTATGTGCTTTGGTTTGTGTGTTTACGGCCTATGTGTTTCAGTGTGTGTCTTTGCTTATTATTACTTATATTAATTAAAAATTGGTGTCACTCCTTTGATCAGATTTCTGTATGAGTGACACCATCCTAATAAATCATTAATTTATTATTATATTAATATTAGTTATTATTATTATTTTTTTATTGTAATTATTGTAAACATACTTATTATGACTATTACTATAATTTGTTTAATTATTTTTTTTATCTTATGTTATTATTATATATTTTTGCTATTATTACTACTATTATTATTATCATTATTATCAAAACTATTGTAAAATAATTTAAAGAAAATAAATAGCTTGTTGTTGTTGTTGTTGTTATGAAAACAGGAATCATTTCTCTAACAATATGTTTTACGCTTCTTCTTTACTAAAACATGTTTCTTTTTGATTTTTATCCTTCTTAAAACTGCACTCTTTTAGATATAATTTCTGATCAAATTGACTAAGCCTTTTCCATTGTCCCTCAGCCGATATTGTTACTATTGGTGACTTTAATGTTCATTACACTAAATGACTTGGCTCTAACACAATTGACCCTGCTGCTAAAGCTCTTTACTTCTGTATTTCTCTATCTCTTACTCAAATAGTTAACTTTGTGACACATTTTCCAGACAACCCTAATCACTTACCTTCACTCCTTTATTTGTGCATTTTTTCCTTGTTATTAATAAAGTGGTTGGACCATGCAATGACTTCTTTAAATCTTAAACTTCTTCTGAGGACTCACCCTATAATTGCACTAAATACTACAACCCTAAAGCTGACTGATTTTTCATAATTTTTTTTTTGTGATATTCCTCAGGCAAATGCCTTTTGTCTCTCTACTTACTAAAATGTCTCCGAGGTAATCTATTTTATCCAGGCAAAAATACAATTCTCTTGAGAACAAACATCTTTTTTTTTTTTTTTTTTTACATCTTCGCTTCCAACAAGGCTGCAAGCAACCACTATAAGAGTTGGAAGTTACTGGAAGAGAAAAAATGAAGTTTGTAGAGCAAAATAATGATTGACAGCCAACTTGAAAGATAGCAAATTATATGAATAGATAAGAAAAGCAAGATAAAGAAAGCTAATTCCAAAAAACTGATGTTCGAGGAAAAAACCTAGACAAATAAGAGTTTTTGGAGCACTCAGGAACAGTCACAAAAAAGGATGAGGTTTATTTGAATGACCAGTAACACGAGAATGAATTTTTGTAGATGGCACAAGAGACACTAGCTCTTTAGAGCAGTGCCCATTAAAGTATTTGTAAAAAAGAGAAAGAGAAGCAACGTTACGCCGATGTGATAATGGTTGGAGGTAGGATGAAGAGCAGGTTCAACTATGTTTACTGCATTTTTGCACCTTGTCTAAATGAGAAAGGGCATCATTAGAAGATTCACCCCAGATATGGCAACAGTATTCCATAAAAGGACGGATTTGAGATTTTTAGAAATAAAGAATAGAATCTGGAGTAAGAAAGTGGTGAGCTCGATAAAGAGAAGCAACCTTAGCAGATGTTAATTTTGCAATGGATTTGATATACAGTTTCCAAGAAATATTGGAAGTAAGAGTTAATCCTAGAAGATGAAGGGTAAATGACTCATCAAGTACATTACTGTTCATAAATATTGGAAGATCTAAATTGTTACAATAACTATTGACTAAAAAAAAATTGAGTTTTATCGGAATTAAAGTTCATCAGCCACTGTGAGCTCCATGCTGTAGCAGAAGTAAGATCCTTTTCAACCTCAGATGCCCAGATTGTTTTCCAGAATTTTTGAAAATAGGGATAACAGATGCTGCTTTCCAGCAGGCTGGAAAACAAGACTCTGATAAGCACTTGTTAAATAGTTTTGAAAGTAAAGATGACAGCTCCAGAGAACATTTCTGCAAGAATACAAGAAGTATGTTGTCTGGACCACAAGCTGAAGAAGAGTCTAAGCAGGAAATCACTTTGTTACAGAAGCTGTAGTGATGAACAGTATCCATTGGAAATTGCAGCAGTAGCATGTGAGGAAAACCATGGAGAAGAGTGAAGGTTGACCTGGAATCGTCAAGAGGGAATAAAAGATTCCATGCCAGCCTGAACCAAAGAACTTATGTAAGAAGCACATTTGTCAGCAGGAAGACAAAAGATTTCTACTCAAGGGCCATCATGAAGAAAATCGCAGAAAGAGTCCCAGTAAAGTAGTTAAAGTAGTTGTAAAAGGTACAATGATAGGGGGATTCTGATGATGAAGAAGAATGAGATGATAGTTTTAGAGACATCAAACCATGATCAGAAGCACTTAAGGGTGAGTGTGGAGAAACTGAGCACTGACTAGGATCAGAAACAAGACATAGGTCAAGTAGAAAAGGTAAATGATTTGGGTTGTCTGAAAAGCGAGTTGGAAAGTTGACTATTTGAGTTAGAGATCAAAAAAGGTAAAAGTTGATGGCCTAAACACCAGCAGAGTCACTGACACTAGAGCCAAGCCATTCAGTGTGATAAGCATGAAAATCACTAACAAAAACAATATCAGCAGGTGAATAAAGAGAGGGGGCTAGGTTAATTGAATCAGAAATAACATCAAAAAGAGTTCAGCCTTGAGATGAAGGAGAGCAATATAGAACAAAGAGAAAGGCGACAGAGTGAAGTGGTGTTAAACAAGAGCACATATAAGAGCAGTCTGTGGATTTAAACCTAGTTTTCCAACAAATGGGTGAATTCTTATGAATGCCCAGGCCAAGCATGTGACTGTTGGATTCTTTACAAATTAAAGGAAGATAACCATCAACATTAAGATCACAAGATGAGACAGCTGAACTGAAATTAGTCTCACAAAAAGCAAGTAGGTCTGGTGAACTTTGCAAGAGATAAGACTCAATAGGAGAAAATTTACTTCGAAGACCACGAATATTAGTGAATAATAGATTTAGAGAACTTTGTGATGACGATGGTTTTTTATGTTTTATAGTTTTTGGTACTTTAGTCATTTAAAATTTTTATAAGAACTTGACTCAAGCATAGACAGTACTCAGTAAACTATTTAATAGTCAAAGCAATTGCCTCATTACTATTAATCAAGGCCTTCTTAAACAGGCCGCGACAGCTCATTTTCTGTAAAATTAGCGAAGGCCGATTTTTTTACGGAGAAGTATAGTTTCAATGAGGATTTTGGTTGTTTGATTTAAACTATAATAGTTAAACTCATAAAATGCCTAATAAATGCTGCGTTTATGGTTGCTCCTCAAATTACAAACAAAAGTAAAAGATAATGTTAATGTCACAATTTATAGATTCTCCTTTAAATCCGAGGATCGCGAGTTATGGATTAAAAAACTTCCAAATGCAAACTTTGTGTTTACAGATTATAAGCGAATTTGTGCTCAGCACTGGCCTAAAGATGCAGAATTTAAAAAAGTCAAAGGTGGTAGTTTTGTTCCAGTGCAACCTCCATCAGTCTTTAAAGGTATACCAGTGTCTTGTATTCCAATAGTGTCTAGAAAACGAGATGTCACTGGGTTGATATGAATGGGTTGATATGCTCTGAAAGAAATAATTTACATGATGAGTTCAAAAACGTCAAAAAAATTGACGTTATTCAATTTAATACAATTGTAAAAAATTTAAAGTCAATAATAAATTACTGTGAAGAAAAATTTTATTTTGTTGAAAAAGAAAAAAATATATCTTTAATATCATATGAACATTGTGGACCAGTACCTAAGTTTTCAATATATATAACTTTAGAAGATTATGGAGATATTTATTTTACTGGATATAGCCAACTTTTACAAATTAAACTGTCTTTTTTAAACAAAGGAGTTATT